CTAAAAAAATATTACTTCAATCAAAGTAATAAAAATAGCATTATTTATAAATAAAAAGTTTATTTTAGTAAAATTAACGTGAAACGTAAACATATTAATTAGTAAATCATATGCTTTAAGTAACTTCAGGATTGTTTATTGGTAGAAAATACCGACATTTGGTATCAAAATTTGGTAATTATTTTCTGACTTTAATTCTTGTTCTGATGAAACCATTTCTTGCTTTCGATCCACAAACCGAGACTGAAGATTCAGTATACTGGTTATAACCAGTTTTACACAGCGTTCCACTGCTTGGGTGTGACACGGAAATTTTTGGAAGTATACACTGAGAGAAAATTTGAATTTGTAATTTACCATAAGTAGTAGTAAAAACAGTTTAGTTATTGATACCCTGATATTGCTCTAAGAAATACCGACAAAAAATGTAAATTATACCACTACAAAACGGTGACATGCGAAGTAGTTCTGTATGACAGTGTCGTGGTAAAACACACCCAAGCTGTTGTCAAAATCCGAGAAAATCTGAATAGTCGAATATTTGTTAAGCCTTGCATTTATTAATACTGAAATCGATGGTGTATTTTACCACGACAAAGGGTAAACATTTTGATTCGTGTAAAATCGCCTGCTGTCAACAACTTGTGTCAAGTTGTTATTTTTTTATGTGTGGAGTGAATTGCAGCATAGATTTTTAGAGTAAAATAGTGTTTACCATGGAATTAAATGTAAGTTATTTATTCACATCATAATAAATTGGTGATGGGATGATTGTTTTGATTTTAATTAGATGGAACAATATTTAACGGCATGGGGGATGGAAACTTTAATACAGACGTTTCGTGGTAAGCTTATTAGGACATATTTTAGGGCATACCTATGGGTTTTCAGTATAATATAATATAGTATAACATTATTGTCCCTAATTATTAGCCTATAGCTCCCCGTATTATGACTCGGGGGTTTAATAGTGCACCCAGGTACAAGAGTCGAATATGTCCAGTAAGTCCAAACCTAGTTGTCGTTTCAGCATGATTTGCATACCTAGTTGGAGGCATAATTTTAATTTTTCCTGCATGCATAGGGTTGCTCACCCTAAGGGTATACCCTATAGAAACAAGCATTACATTTTAGTGTCACCAAACATATATGTAGACTCTACATTGTAGAGTATACTCTTATTTTTTAAGGTAAAACTTTTTGACTGACTTGCATCGCTTTTAAGATACAGCATGTCAAAATTAAAAAAAAAAACAAGTTTTTATTAATTTTTTGCCAATTTTAATAACACTTGAAAAGTGTATTAGCAGTAATAAGGGTCATTTTTGTTGTAACTAGATTTAAATAAATAATTTCAGTGGCGCGCCATGGCGAAAAAGGGTTACCTAATTAATATTTATGGTAAAAATATTGTATCCCACAGTTTTTTTAAAAGTTTGATAGCTTCTTTAGATTAAATAATTAAAAATATAATTGTTCCTAGTGTTTTTTTAATGTTGCTTAGGTTTCGAGAAAAAAATTAAAACTTCTTAAAATTTTGTTTTTATGGATCTGCCCCATGGGATGTCATCTCATAGCTCAGAGCTAGAAAAAAATGTTTGTTGTTTTTTTCTTGAAACTAAGCAAAATTTAAAAAAAGGGAACAAAGAAGTTGTATTTTTAATTGTTTGATGTAAAAAAGATAAAATAAGCAAACAGTGGTAAACAATAGTAAAAATTGATTTTTTTAAACTTTAACACGCTGTATCTTGACTTTTCTTCATATAATTACATGAGGAATAACACTATGAAATATTTGCATGTCATTATTATTTATTAATTATTTTTGTTTTTATATTTTATTATCAGTCTTCTGAGATACTGTTACAAGAAGCTGAAGTTCCAGAAGTGTACAGTGAGAATATTAGTATTCAATCACTAGAATTCCAAGCCCTTACTCCTTCTACTTTAAGTACTTCTACTAATTTCATTTTCAAAATACTTAATATTTCACACACAATATTTTCATATACATTGGCGACTTTTATTTTATTTATAACATGAGTTTTTAAGACACCTTTAAATATTTGCATGTCATTAAGGAAAACCCTGTATAACATACTATATACAACCTAATGTAGGTAATTTGTTCTTATATTTTTGTAAAAAAAATTGTATTTTTATTTAAAATAAATAAATTTTAAAATATTACTTACACACAGTTTATTACTCAATATTCCTTTAGAAAAAATACTGAATGGTAAGTAAAATATATTACTGACTTGTATTAATTTGTACAACAAATGTTTTTTGCAGTTAATATGATAGGCAGGATATAAATGAATATTAGACAGTATCATCTAGTTAAAAATAATACTGTATGAAAATAATACTGTATGATAAGTATTTTTAATATTTTGATGTTAATGATTAGTATGGCATTTTAGTAAATATAAACTAACAATTTATCAATAATAATAACGTCAAAGTCGTTTTTATTCACCCGACAGTAGTAGAATAATTACCACGACAACGTTAGTAATACTTGGCGCGTCGGACATAGTGTACAATACTAATTCCATAAAACTAAATTGTCGTGGTAAATATAACTACATGTAGCGTTTGGGGCATATACAACCACGACTACTGGTAAATAAGACCCAAATTCTGGTATTGTTTACGATATTTTTTTCTCAGTGTAGGAAATGGTCACCCGAAGAAATCATATCGGGAATTTCTGTCATCGTATTTCATAGTCATAGGTGGTTCAGTTACCTTTTCTCTCGCCCGGGCGCGCCTAGTGAATTAATTCGTAAAAATGTAATGCTTCAGTATTTAGTTGTGGAAGCTTTAATTCCCGTAATCTCGAACATTTTGATTCTTTTCTCGCCTATATTTTTGGCAATGCTAGTTCTCTGATCTATAGATATATTGTAGGTAACATAGAAAGTAATAGGTTTTCGGGATAAATATTTCGCTGAATATTCTTTATAACTATAATTATAAGGCCTTCAAGTTTTTCTGGAGGTGTAATGCTCTTTTAGTAATATTAAATATGTGAATAGGACCATGTTTGCACGTAGGCTTGGTGTTGATGTAAAACCACGTTGGGGCATACACTTTCATGATAAAAGTAGCCAATTCTTTTAGGTTTTCCGATGGATTTGCTGTCCCCACATATAAACGAATAATCCTATTAGCATAGGGAATGTGCTAGCTTTCCTGGATCTTTGTTAGCTATAGCTAACAAAGATCCTTATAAGGAAGTGGGAATTGTACCTTTAGATATTAGTACCTTTAGATTATTAGTTATAACCAGTATACTGAATCTTTATTCTCGGTTTGTGGATCGGAAGCAAGAGATTGTTTCATCAGAACAAGAATTAAAGTCAGAAATTAATTACCAAATTTTTATACCAAATGTCAGTATTTTCGGGAAAAAGAAGATCTCATTTCTACCAATAAACACTCCTGAAGTAACTTAAAGCATATGATTTACTATTAAATATGTTTACGTTTCACGTTAATTTTACTAAAATAAACTTTTTATTTATAAATAATGCTATTTTTATTACTTTGATTAAAGTAACATTTTTTTAGAATTTTCAAAACTTCAAGACTGATGCGCCACATTAAGATATTAAAAAATTGGAATATTTTTTCGATATTTATTCATTTTAATTACGCCTTTAGACAACAATTAATAATATAGGAAAAATCAATTAATAAATAAAAAAAAATTCACTCCACCCTACTGCTTATGAAGATGTTTGTCAGATGGGTTTGTCTATATATAGTTTAACGAATTTTTGGACAAACTAATTGCTTTAAAATTTTAGCTGACAAGAAATTTAATAAAGAAAACATATGACATTACTTTTCGTGATAAAGTTGGAAGAGAGGTAGACGAAGACGTTATAAAACATTTCCTTTCCCAAAAAGATGCCCTTCTATTTATTACATTAAAATCAGGTAAATACAAATTAAGAATATACCTACCTACTGTCAGTAGACTACTGATTGTTATTGATTGTGAATTTGTAGACCCATTTCAAGCAGAAAGCATTTCTATATAAAATATAAGTGGTGAGATAATTTTGTTTGGGAGGATGTGTTTTGTTGTATAAAAAGCTAAATATAACTATAGCTTTTGTTTTGTAAATAGCTATAACTTTTGTTTTGTAAATCTTTTATTTTATGTTTCTAATAAAAATAAATATAAACTTTAAATTGTATTTTATTCGTCACTTTTGTATATTTTGTAGTGACCAATATCACTACAAAATAATAAAATATCACTACAGTATAATAAATTATCACTACATAGAATAAAATATTATAGGAAAAAAATTAATTCTCAAGAAAAAAAACACTATGTTGTTAAAGATTTTTATAAATTAAAAAAATAACACCAGGCAGTGATAATTTATTCCATCTTATAATACAAATTTTACTACCGTTAGAAATAATTAACACCAGGTTAGTGTTTTATATTTGCCTAAAAATATTTTTCTCAAAAATTTTCCCATGTAACCCTCCAGACGTGGCACATCAATGTAATCAGGACAACGCTAGCTATCCAAAAATGCAACAAAAATAAAGGGTTGTATTTAAAAAAAACTGACTTTGATTGTGGCGCCGCCACGCGGCAGATTTTGGAACAACTACATAGGCTAAAATATTGTTAGAAAAATAACTAAGTTGACGTGTTTCGGCGTTTTTTTTTTAAATAACCGTTTTCAAAATAATCTCATGTTTCGGGACTTTACGGACACACTGTATATACAAACAACCAACACTTGCCCGGTTGTAAATATCGAGTTCAGCTTTCACTTATTTTTAAACTAAGCTCAAACTATTGTTACAATTGTAACCAAGTAACTTAACCTCGATTAAGTTAAACTGCAGCTGAACTTGTACAACCGGGCCTTAAAGTTAGATATTAATGCAAAATAATTTCATAAAATTTTAGTAAAACATTACTTATACTTATTTATACTCATTATGTATATTTTTTTCAGTTCCGATGTAGAAGACGCAGGGAACAAAAATACCATCACAAGCAACATCAGGCGCAGCACTTCTGCAGTAACAGTAGTTCCGGTGTGATACACGCCCAGGGTTGCGAGTTAGAGGGCTTATCAGAAAAGTATTGGGGCGAAATCCTAGAAAGGACTTTGTCCTCCAGTTCTCTGCACGCACTTCAAAGAGCCTTTTCGCAGCCCAGAATGGACGGTTGCAACGGTATTCAGGAGATGATAGTGTTCGATACGGCGGTGCCGGATTTATGAAAAATAGACAAGACCACGCAGACATTCGAAATAGCGGCGATCGAGAGCATGGGAAGCTCTTGCGAGACCGCCACCTTTTCGAATTGAATGTGTAGTCTTGCGGGAATTTAAAGTGTTTTTGTACATTTCATTGAAATGATTTCAATACATAGATAGATATCTATTTATGAAAAAAAAACCGTTTTTGTATTGCTGTCAAACAATACACCATTTTTCATGTTTGTAAAGAAGAAGACCAATATAAAGACATTCTTGAACAACAAAATAGCTAAACAACACATGAGGTGTAAAATTGGAAAGAAAAACATATTTTTTATAATCTTATTATTTTACAACCCGCATTTTGTATTTTTTTCCGTTTTAAACTAAAAAATCCAAATATGTTTAAAAAATATATTAAACTTCCACCGTGCAATTTTAAAAGATACTTTAAAATTCTAAAATGTAGGTGTATGTCGTAGCCATTGTGCGTAATGCGTCATTTCGCATTGGTCGTAAAGACGGCAAACGCTGTAATAAATAAATATTTCTTGAATTCACCAATCAAAAAAGCATACCTACCAATCGATAACGATAAGAGGACTTTGGGCAGGAGATAAGATTTTTTTTTTACATAATTTTTTAAATTGAAATATTATTAAAGTGTATTTATATGCGCGGAATTGTGCTCAGGCATTGTACTTTGAATTTTAACCAATTAACTTTAAAAAGTTTAGTTTATTATAAAAAACGCTCGGGCAATTTTAATATTACATAAAAACAATACTATACCTGTTAACAGTAATAAGTTTAGTTTGGTATATAAATATTTAAATATAAAAATATATTTGTTTCCTCCCTAAAGTCTTTTTGCCATTATCGATCGGTATTCTGACTAGGCTTTCCGCGGAATGACCACCTCCCTACGACATATTTATAAAATGCACATATGTACATTAAATTTTAAGGAAAATAGCAATGTCCATTTGAATGCTCCATTGTAATTGTTCGGAGACATTCGGGTTTTGGTAATAAAATTAACATATTTATTTTTGAACTCAATAATTCTACCTACCTGTTATTTATCATTCTTTCTACGCACATTTCATTTGACTTTTAGGAGTTCGGTTTTGTACGCCGTGGGCTGCGTATCGCTCGATGAAAAGTGTGAAACATAGCTGACTTTGCGAACCGGGGGGTACAAAATTGGATTCCCGGTGTAGAAATATACCTGTATTTGTTAACAATATCGCAAGCTTTGATCTTTTAGTGAGGTATTTTGTGAATTGTATAAATGATTGAATGGATGTTTCAAGATTGAAATTTCCACATTGTCAAATGGCGGAGGTAGTTCTTTCTGAAGCCGTGAGACGTTAAAACAAGCATATGGTCACATGGACTAGATTCCAAGCACCAAGGTTGAAAATACCGAAAATAGAAAGAAAGAAGAAGAAAGAAGATTTGACTTTTAAGCTTTTATGCAATAATCTAAACCATTTAAATATGTAAGGAATAAAATTGATTATGAAATAATTTAAATATAATATATGTAATATAATTTATTTAATAAACTACATGTTATTTAGTTCGTTGTTTTAAATAAAATATTATATTTAAATAAAATATATAGACATTTAATACTAAAATAATTATAAACTTTTGCATAATTTTGCAAACTAAATTGTTAATAACCCTCTTTAATGTATTTTATGTGATTTTTTGTTACCTGAGCAATTTGAATTAAAATATTTATTCTTGCTATGTAAATTAAAGCCATTAAAATTTTAAACTAAAATGAATTTTGTGCTTATAAAAAGTAATTCACTTTTAATACGTTTAATAACATTTCAGTTTTTATTATTTGTATAGCAAACATGCAAAAACCGATAAATCTATTTTTACATTTTAAGAGGATAGAACCAATTCTTACTAATTTTGGTAAACTTTTTTAACTTAATACAGGGTTAAGTAAAAACCAAAACAGAGACAACCCAACAGAAGCAACATTCCCTTTTAATAGTTTTAAAAATTTGGGGCAATCTGCTGTACACATTTTTGGCCAATATTTAATAATAAGTTAAAATGGATTTATCGGCTTTTGCATGTTTGCTCCATATTTGTTTTATGAAATAACTGCCCAATACCAATTTATTTCAATGTATAAAAATCCAATAAAATATGAAAACGGCATAAACTTATAATAATTAAAGCTTGGCCTTCCCAAAGGGTCTAAGCACCAAAAATACAATTGTGAGTAATTAATGAAAATAAAATGGTAAAAAAAATAATATGGAGTTGGAATATTTTTAAGTCGTTTTGCATGGCACATAGACTAGGTTTAAATAATAATTTAATATTTTACCAAATTGGGTCCAAACCCTTTGGAAATACCATGCCCAATTATAATTTTTTCCCACTTTTTCAGCAAAACCAAATTTATTATTATTATAACATTAATAATTATTTAACATCTTTTATAAAATAAAAATGCCGCTTTCTTTGCGCATTGCCGTAACAGAATATTTTCTTAAAAAAGGTCCTACTAAATTTTACCAAAAATTTAGTTTCACTGAAAAAGTAAGAAAATCTGGAAAATTTATATAAATTCAACTTTTACCTGGGATAAAATATTTAGTTACCCGAGTCAAAATTAAGATCGTAATTTAAACCTTTAGTCTGACAATTTCCGTCTTAAACGGTTTTATATTCGCCTAAAGATAACCAACTTATATCCTAAAACATGACAGATAAGTCCATTTTCCCGATTTTTCGGTTCTAATTACGTTTAAATTTAAACCAAAAATTTTATTAGAGGTAAATCGGTTTAAATCGGTTCAAATTAAGATTAAATCGGTTGTTCTAGTGCTAAATTGGAGTAAACAGACTGAACAGGTTTTAAATCAGTTTTGGTAGGTCAAAGTAGGTTTAAATTACGATTTAAATTTTGACTCGGGTAATTTATCATAAAATGATAGGAAACCTTTTTTGTAAAGCCTAATTTCCTTTGACGAGTAATCCAATTTCACTTTATGAGGGATCTGTAAGATCTTACATTTTAACAGGACCATTTTTTTTAGATTGTTTCATAGGTGTGTTAATTCTTTTATTATAATTATATTAAACGGTTTTTGATAAATCCTAGTATATTTAACTTAAAAGTATACTAAATAAAAAATTCTAAATATATTTTTTAATAAATTAATAATATTATTTTTAGCCTAAAATTTTTAAAAGTTTTTCATAGAATAAATGTATAAATTTTATAAAACTAAAAGTTATTTAAAAAATGAACGATTTAATAAAAATACGGTTAAAAAAAATACGGTTAAGTAAATTCTAAATATAGACATATTTTTAAATAAATCTTAAGAGGCAGATGTTGACTATTTCCAAATGCTTCCGAACAGTTACAATTGAGCATTCAAATGGACATTACTATTTTCCGTAACTGTACATGTATATTTTGTAAAACAACTCAATTACAAAATTATTAAACACGGCGGAGAAAGCATATTAACTGCCTCGCTCAGATCTGCAGCCTCGGCTGCGAGCACTGAGCTCGGCTATAAATAAGCGTTTTCATAGCCTGTTAGATATTGTACTATTATCTACAACTGTAATATAATGTCTATGATTTAACACTCTTTTAAATTTCACAATAACCTTTATTACCGCACTAGTGTGTTAATACCTTGGACTTTTTAGATTTATAGCCATCCGATTTTTGTTCCAGAAATGCAATCTAATTTACATTTAAATTACCATCGAGAGATATCACGAAAGAGCTCAGGGCTTCTGTGTTTTTCATTTGTTGAAATATACTAATAATTTTTTCTCGCTTGCAGTGGCGGCTTGTAGTCAGTCAAAGTAAGAAAGCTAATAAATTGCAAGTGGTTTTAAGACGGGTTGCCATTAAAAAAACTAGTCTAAAATGTTTCTGGCGCCACAAGAACCTCCCTTGCCTCCCCTGACGACGCCATTGCTCCCTTGTTATGTTGAGCACAATCCTTACAACAAGCTCTGTTCTTTCTCGTTTGGCGCATAATTCAAATCACAAGTTAGACAACTCACTGCGCAGACTCTAACGGCGGCCATTTTTATGTTGTTTACAAATCTTGTGCTGTTTATACAGAATAAAAATCGTTTTAAACGTTGTGTTTCTTACAGAGACCCTTGTAAGCCTCAAATGAGGCCTTAAAATGCTAAGGACAACCATTTTACTCCTCTTGTAAAAAATAAACCTTATTCTTCTAGGGCTGTCATCAAACTGTCCAATGTCAATTTTATGGTTAATTCACAATCCACAAATAATATAATATAAAATAACCTTAAATTAACCTTCAAATTGACATTTGACAGCCCTGATAGAATAAGGTTTATTTTTTACAAAAGAGGAGTAAAATGATTTTTCTTACCACTTTGCGGTCTCTTTTAAGGCTTGCAAGTCTCTCTGTAAGAAACACAACGTTTAAAACGATTATTAATCTGTACAAACCCAAAACAACAAAAATGGCCGCCATTGAATGAGGTGCAGTGTTGCAGTGATTTTTAGTATTTTAAGTACGAGATCGAACAGACCTTGTTGTGTGGATTGTGGGTTAATTTATCAAACCCAAAGATAATACCAATCTATGGGGTGTATTATTTTTGATCATACCCACAAATTAACCTTAAAATTCACATTTGACAGCTTAATGATAGCCCTGATAGAATAAAGTTTATTTTTTTACAAAAGAGAAGAAAAATTGTTGCCCTTAGCCCCGAAACCCAAGAATTGTAAACAACATAAAAATGACCGCCGTTCGAGTCTGTGCAGTGTTGCAGTGTATATACACTGAGTGACAATCGTACCTATGCCTGTTGATAAGGAGGTCATTCCATGAAATTTTAACTGACAAAAGCTCGACATCTCAGATTTTACAAAAAGTTTCAGGGTTTGAAGATCAATGCTTGGGATGAACTAAAATCACAATAATATTTTTTTATTTAAACACCCTGTGAAATTAGGCGAGGCCATGTTG